TAGTTTGGTAATGAATAACCACTAAAAAGTGCCAAAAGGTCCTTAAACTATGTTCTTGGCTGATTTTCAAACTGCCTTCCTCTCCGTTGGATTGTGACTGACTGACAATGTTTTACATATTCTGTTCTCAGGTTCGCGTTGAAAGACAATTGGCAGTGCTCCGCCTCCTACCTCAGCTTCCTGTGTTAATAATCATGATTTTCAGCTTGAATAACCGCACAATGCACAATGCGCGCTTGAGATCGGAGTCGTTTTCAGACAGCAGGAGTCTGGATCAGTCTCTGACCAGAAGTCTCAGATACTTCAACTCATAACATTTCAATGAAACTTAATTTTAAAAAACATAACAATCCCTCTCTGATTAATTTTCAGCCTTATTTCTACCCTTGTCAGTTAAGACAATTTGGCAACTGGGCATGTCAAAGCAGAAATATAATTTGTCTGATCAGGTATTCTTCTGTATTTTTGCTTGTTCAGACAAAAAAAAAGAAAAAAAAAAAAAGAAGAAGAAATGGCAACCAAGAGGCAACATTTTTACTCTATGAATAAAAAACAAAGGGGAACAAAAATCTCCACAGTGACGGATGTCTGTTAAACACCTGACCTTAATATAGGGGGAGCTGTCCTCTGTACCGAACCGCTAAAGCACACGGCACTCCACCTCTCCACGCCGAGAATTTGTGATGTGTGCATTACTATTACATTATCTCCTCTGCTGTATACATTGTGAACGACCTTACACATCTGTTAACATGTCATCTCAATGGTGGTGGCACCCAAAAAGCCTGACCTCCACCCTTCCTCCCCCCACAGCGGGACACCAAGGCACAAGCGAGCAGCTCTACACTTTCTGTGGTGATTATCCATTATCCTTGACAATGTCAGCCAATGACAGAGCAGGCACCGTTCTAAAGTGATTTTTACCCCTACAGTCTGCCACGCACACACAAGAGGGTGGGGTGGAGGGTAGTGATGGGGAGGGTGCGGCTTCATCATCTCCTGGCTGGTTGATTCTTCATCTGTTTCCCTCTCCCTCTCTTTTCATTTCTCTCCTATGCTACTTAAGAGGCATCAGCAACAGGAAAGGTCACTGCACTCCATCCAAAGAATAAGGTGCATGTTAGCAGTAGAGGGCCGGCGTGTATGTGTGTGCATATATTAGAGGTGTGACTCGATTAAAATTTTAACTGCAAAGGTCTTTAATTAATAATCACAATGACACTTTAATTGGAGACTACATATTGACAAGTTATTGAATAAATAGACATGTCAGCTCAACAAAGATATTTTAATCTGATATTTAGGTTATTCAGTCATCAGATTGGTGCAAAGTGCTATTATTAATGCTGTTCAGCTTTTAGGTTTTTCAGGATCTCCATTCGTAGAATGTCTAATAAAAGAGAATAACTTCTTAGAAACATGTACATCTCTGCTTGCTGCAACATGTTTAGCTCCGAGATGCTATTTTAGGCTTGAATAGCTGTGCAGAGAGGCCAACTCCTTTTAGCACAACTTGCACACAATAGCCTTTTCCAGCATTCCATCTGATCGTTTCTTGTAGCAGAAATGACCAGCAGCGGGCCAAGAGAAGCCGCTTTGTCGTCCACTGATGTTCTTTGCTTGTGTGGCAGATTTATGGCTGCACCAGGAACACAAAGGTTCAGACTCCAGACTATTTTAAAATGGTTTAAAAAGCTAAAATCTATGTAATCAAGTAATCAAAATGAACTCGATAATATTAGCTTATTAGGTCTTTCATATTCTATAGACAGCATAAAGTTACAACATTCTGCTCAATTAGCAGATTTACTAAAAGCTATTACTTTCTCCAGTCGACACGTCTCCTTCTGTTCAGAAAAGATAATCAAAATATCAAATAAATGTAGGAACTATTGATACAAAAATGTGCTAATAAATACGCTTTAAATTACATCTTCAGAAGTGGAACAAACTGCTGCTGTTCTGTTTTTGCAGAAATTAGATGATGTTCACATTTACTAAAGGTTAACATACGGTTAGAGTGTCATGGTGAACCTCATCCATGACATTCAGTGACACTTTCAATGTGAGCAATATGACTCACCGCCCAGGTGTCACTCTGAAAGGGGCAGCCAAAAAAAAGGGATATAAAAATAGGTGTCTTTCCAGGGAATAGTGAGATTCTGATTAAATCCTAACGTGGAAGGATGCCAGATTTTTAAGATTGTGTTTGATCATCTTTTGGACTGGACTCACACTCACCAGAGATTCTTTAAAAGTTCTGCCACCTTTGCTAGCCAATATAAGCATGACCGCACCTGCTGCTAACACTCTTCTTTAATCACACAAGAACTTAGTTGCTAAATGACCTTCAATGTCAAGAGTGGTAATCCATTTAAAATGTATGAGAGCAAACAAAAGAATTAAGCGGGGGTTAGAGCCGAAGCAGCGGCAGACAAAGTCAAGGTCATTCATCCCACCAAGACTCCTCCACTTGATGCAACAGCTGGTGTCCATGCAAAGCTCTGGGCGTTAATAAAAAGTGACAATGCTGCCTGAGCGGTGTGTCTTCCTAATGTCTGACACCAGCCTGGCAGATGTGTTCTCCCTGCATTTAAGGGGAGTCAAGGTTAAAGGAATTTAAAAAGGGGAGGCGATGCCTAAACACTATTATATCATGTAATCTGCAGCCTAGCACCGCTGCACACACTCAACAGGGTAGCTCCCTTACACATGCGGCGTGACCGCTATTTGTAAATTCAATATGGCCTGACATGATTAAATAAGGCAAAACATAAGCTGCCGGACCAAATGCGGCTGCTCCGAGACCTCCGCGAGCGCGTTGTGTATGCACACGAGCGACGGGAAGGTGGAATTAGAAGCTCTTGTTCAACCTTGAGAAAAGGTAAACAAGAGAGCAACATGCCACCGAACAGCAGGGGAGCCGGAGCAAGTAAATGTTTCTGCAGATAAGTCAATCGGGACAAAACAACACCTGAAAGGGAATACGCTGAAACATGCATGCCCACACAATGAGAACTAGGGCGCTGTGACCCATTTCCGTTAGACACACTGACTAAACAAGATGCTTCACACACACACACACACGCACACACACACACACACACCCACCCATGTGCGCACGTTGAAACAGATGGATGTACAGCATCACAACGGAAATGTGATACATCAGAGCTGAGAAGTCGAGATAGCCTGGGCTATCTACTGAAAAAAGAAAAAAGAAAAAAAAAAACAACAGAATCCTTTGACGGGGTTTGATGACTAGTTTCTATCGTTTAAGACTTTGGCCTAAATGAGGGCCTGACTGCGAACGTTCCTGGCCTGAATCTGGCCTAGCATGAAAAGCGCGGGGGCGGATTTTAACCTCATCTGAACTCATCAGTACAAGGAGTTCCTGAGGTTGAGAGAAGGGAGAGCTTGAAGGAATTCATCCACGCTGATGAGTCATCTAACCGTTTGAGAGGCCAGCTGAGCGGCGGAGGATGGGGAGATGATATCACCGCGCTGTATCACAGACCTGGACACACTTTCACTGCGCTCTACATGCCTAAACAGGTCCGAGTAGATGGGCTTCCAAAGATGTTTGCGTCCATAGTAAATATTTGTGTGCCATTTGGAAGACCCACCCAAGGGCCATTTCCTGAGTGGCTGAGAATTAGTGCATCAATTAAACACACACACGCATGCACACACACACACACACGCATTCCCTCCTAATGAGCCGTGGCTGCCATCAGTCCACACCTGATCCATTTCTACCAGGGCTCAGAGGTAATCTCATGCTTGCATCGCAAGTCTGAAATGGCGCTCATTTCCCTCCTGAAACAACATGCATTTTCCATCTGTAAACACGGGCCTGCAAATAGGAACAGCTGATTGCCCCGTGGCCAACGTGCTTAGAGGCAGAGTTGGGCCCTTGAAACTGACTGCAGTGGTGATGTCTGAGGGAAATGGGCCACTTTGCAATTGAGATCAAATGTCCCACTGTCAGGCTGCCCTGAAAGCTGGATAAAACCAGCTAAAAAACCTTGGCCTTTAATGAATCATTTCCATAATATCCCTGGCATGGCTCCTAAGGAGGCCATTGCTGTGAGTCAGCAAGATGTCTGGCTTTATTGGGTTAAAGAGAGTGCTGCTCTTTTCTTTTTACTGTGGGTAACTCGGGATGGTTTGGGAGTGTTATAGCCGAGCTGCGATGGATGTCTAAGTGATGGAAAGAGAGGAGGACGTATCTCTGCTATCATTTTGCTTTTCATAATGCTCTCATTGACCTACTTTCTGGTTTAAATCATCCTAATGCTTGCTTTGGGTGGGATTGGAGTATTATATTACAGGGCACCATGATATGTGAGGGAATATTCCATTCGAATCATCAAAAACACAGAGGCTGTACCTTCCCACCCGTCATCTAGAACACAGGCTGCCTCAAAGTTAAACAATTAAATGGATCTTTTGGAACAATTATGCACTTTTGACCCAATAAAGCAAATGGCAACTGTGTTTAACTTTTTAATGGAGAGTCTCTTTCAAGCAGCACTGCTCTATTTAACAGAACTTGGTTCATGCCAATAACCAGGAGACCTGTTGTCTGTTCTGGTGCTCAAACAGAGGAAGGTTCTGCAGCTCCAGACTTCATTATCTCCACAGAGTCATCATCAAACTCAGTCCCCATAACTTTTAAATCAAGTTTGCACCGTGAATCTGTAAACTGCATTGTGTGGGAATATACTCTACTCGGATTTTTTTCTACAGGTACGAAGTTACAGATGTAGTTCCTCTAGGCCATTTACTTGGACCACTCAACTTGTCTCGGTTCATAAGCATGGAAAGTGAACTGTTTTGCAGTATCATTATTGGCATTCATCACTGACGCAGACCAAAACATGAGACAAACCAAAGCCATGTCAGGTGGACTGGAATCTATAAATGAAAGAGTAAATTGATAATAATAAACAACTAGTGATGATCATAGTCCCTGTCTACTTTTTAACTCTTGATACCTTTTGGTGGCTGCAGCTTGTGACTCGGTCTGCTCCAGTGTGGCGTGTCACTACAATTTCCAAGACTATTTTCTGAAAAAAAAAAAGATAAAAAAAGAAAAAAAAAAGGAATTTGTTCAATCTTTATGTTCACAGCATGTAAAATTTATTACAGTTCATGGACATTTTGTTTAAGGAGTTTGTTTTCCCTGAATGTTGGCATGTTTAGAGAAAAAAAAACTGTCAAGTCAGCTGATCACAAGAGCAGAGATAAGGAAGAGTGTAAATATTAGCTTCTGTATGCTAAGTCAGTTTCCGCTGTGGGTATTTAAGGTGTGTTTGGTATCTGAACTATTACAATAGGCAGTAATAAGTGTTAGAGGGGGTCTCAAGCATTTGCAGATTATAGCTACTCACAGGTGGCTGTGGTCCCTGAACCCCATGAATACTTGATATCGACTATACTTAAATGACGTAGATTGGTATCAAGCATAGAATTAAAAACATCTTTAAATTAGAGTACTTTTATTCAACTAATTTCGTTTCATTTACAAGTATACTAAAAGTCTGAATTCAACTTTCTCTTTACCAAAATGCACAAATGTTCAAAGCAGAATTTAGTTACCCAACAGGGCCATAACTGGTCTCCAATACTAACAAATGAAAGATTATACAAATTAGTCAATACAGGCTTTTGTGCACATTTCACCAACACAAACAAAGCTACAGTGTTGTACTTAGCGACATGGTAAGTAAGGGACTGATGCTCCGTCACATTCATCACTTTCAAAAAATACATATATTTTTTGAATCAACTGTCCCAGATTTTCACTCTTCCACCACCAGTAGATTTTCATTAGGTTATAAATAACAGATTTGCTGGTAAAATGAGTCGACACGGCCATCATTAGAGCTACTATCCATTTCCCACTGACACCAGGCAGAATAACAATGAACATGGACTTATATACATATTGACTGAACGTTGCACAGGGTGGTTTTGTAATGAGACTTTCAAGAGTCAACAACTCGAGCCTGTCGCATCCTGTGAGTAAAGTTAGGATCACAGAACCAGCAAGTGACAGCAGAGTTGTAGGTCGTATTAGAGAACCGAAGGTTCTGCAGGTCGTAGAAACGGCTTCGTGACCTGCTGCACCAGCAGCGCAGAGGCGCAGCAACGGTAGATTCAATTTCAAACAAGTGATCCACACCAAATGCATTGCAAACCATCTAGATCACTGTCAGAACTCCAACATAAAGTGTCTTGAAAGTACAACTGGTTAGATACGCTGATAGCATTGACCCAGGGGTCAGAGAACTGACTGAACTGAGATAACCTAGCAGGCTCTTGCTCAAGATAGCCTGATAGGCCACACTACTTTGGTTTTCCGCATACAGGATGAAGTGACAATTTAGCCGTAATTCACAAGAAACATCATCATGTCGCTATTCAAACTACACGGTTTCAAGAAGAGAAAGAAGAACTGGAAAAAAGCTGAATCTTTGCAGTTTTTTAAAAGGGTGTAAATATGACTCTTAAGCTACAGCTGGATATTCTAAGATATCAAAATATTTATTAATCTGAGAATGTCTAATTAGGAATGTTGGACATTTAAAGGGCCAACCACTCAAATTATAATCCACCTGAAATATGACTGAATTTATAGCCTACTACAAGTTGTGATTGAAGTAACATGCATTTTTACTCTTTAATAAAAAAAAAACCCTAACTACCAAGAAATGCATGTTTAATTGGAAATATTATCAAATCACAATCCTATTAACCAGTATGTTTTACTCTGTATGGATTTTAGCTATTCAGTGCATGAGTGACTGTCTAATACTTAGTGTTTTTCCACTGTGAGCATGTCTTCACTAATTATGCTGAACTAATAAATGCACCTGGGCACTGTCAAAAATCATATGGTCCCAACCTGTTATACCACCTCAACATAAAAGATCGGTGTGTTTTCACATTAAAACTCGAATAAACAAAAGAATAAATTATTGCCGGTATTTGCATATTTGCCACTGATGCACTGCAGGCTGCAGTGAATTCACACATTACGTTCAGTACCTACATATAACAAGGAGCACCTCCTCGTCTTTCTGATCTCTGGTCCTGCTCTGCATTCACGAAGCCTCATTTTCAACTCCTCAGGATCTGGGGTCATAGGTCAAGTATCATTTGGAGAAGCTACTCAGCTGCTCCCAATTAAATAAAATCAATATCTTGTTGGTACTGTTACGCATTATAAAACAACAGTCAGAAAGTAAAATAAAAGGCAGTAGTGAAAATGCTTCCAAAAAGGGATTTTGCTGCATATTCATATCCAATGATTGGACCCAAACTCCTGAATTAAAGGTACGTACACAGCAAGGAAGGAACTGACTGCACAGTTTAGTTTGTAATTAAACTAGTGTAACCTTTAAGAATTTTAACAGAATAATAAATTATGTGTTGACTGATGCGGCTTGATGGCGACAGAATTGTTATAAAATCAACGTGATTGACGAATCACAGCAGCCCTAAGTGGGCATGTGAACAAAGTGACAAGCCTATCATCATACACTGGACTCATCCCATCCCCATTTTAAAGTTGAATACAGTGAACACAGTTCTTTTCACTACAGATCTTGCAGTAAAAGCATCAAAGATCAGCCTCTTTTAAAAGGCGGTGTGAACTGTGAAACTGTTTCTGCCAGATTTGCATCAAGAAATCAGCTGCTGACTGCAATCAGACAAATTTCAACCTCATCAAAAGCTGAAACATCTGTTATTTTTCCGATCAGTGAAGGCACCATGCTAAATGCTAAAAGGTCACGCTGACAACAAGACTCTGGTGTGAATGCGGTTGCTGAGGGGCGAAAAAAAAGAGACTAACTTGAGGCTTCGTTTATTAGACAGTATTTGTCATTGGAGGAGCATTATACATAAATATCAAACAAACATCTCTTAAGCTGCCCCACAGATGGAACAGTGGGAGGTTCTGAGCATCTTTATGCACGTTTCCAACAAGCTCGGAGAGGAAATTCAGTCGTGTTTTAATAATCCGTCCATGCTGTGGGGAAGGAATCAAGAGTTGGTGGTCTTCTGTGTGTCCAGATCAGAATATCTACGAGGAGCTCGTCTGTCAATCGATTTAGTGTCAAAGAAATATTTTAGAAAGAACACAGGCCTACAGTTTGAGATCGACAGCAGGTACACTGTTGCCCTCAGGCGCAAAACATTGAGTATTAGGTTATTCTCTCTCTCTACACACATCTGTTCAAACTCCAGCACTTCCCAAAAATAAACAGAAGCCTTTAAATTTGGCCATGTAGACATCCTGGCAACTCATCCCTGGTCAGGTTGGACACAGTTTGCTATATGTGAAGAATAAATGCCTACACAGATTGCAGGTGGTGGGCTGAGATGTGTGCGTGTATGTAAGTCTGCGGAGTTAAGGACCTCAGGTAAGATAGGATTTTCGGAAAATCAGTTTATTGAATTACTTGATTATTAAAAGGAATTATTCTACAGAATACCGAATTAAAAATGTTAAATGGCTGCAGTCCTAGTGCAGATACATCTGTTGTCCATACAGAGAAGTACAAATTGCGGTATACCTCAAATGTCTTCCGTTCAATAGCAGCTATTCTGTTATAGCTGCATGCATGTACGGTAACTGAGGATTATAAAACCAAATGTATGTGTGCGTGTTTGTTTCCTTTATCCCTGTGATGGATCGTTGACCTGCTGAGGGCGTACCCTGCCTCTCACCACAGGACAGCTGGGATAGGCTCCCCTGCCTCTGTGACCCTGAACAATGCAAAATGGGTACGAGAAACAAATGACTGCATGAAAATGAAGAAGAAACTGTCCTCTGTGACATAGCTGCTTTAGTTAAAGGTGAGAAAAGTAGAAGTGCTGATGAACACGGGCACACAAGTAAGTGGCTGTCCCTTCTGCTCGTCATTACTCTCAGTACGTCTGGTTTTCCATCTAAGCAGACATTAATTGTTATTAACTGCCTTCACCTGGCAGCCCAGGTGCAATCAGTCCCCAACTGAGTAGGAAGAATGAAAACTGGCAGAGCTGTGGAGGAAAAACTCCTTTGCTTTTCGGCGTGTTTTGGTGGAAACAGTGAACTCGGTTGAAGGGTTGACGAAACTGATCAGGTTGCATTTTCCGTAACCAAGAGAAACCCACTAATTGTCTGAGATGCAGACGAGCACGGGGCCAAGGATTACAGGAAATGAGTCTTTCCTCTCTCGGTCAGCCACTGACCATTAAATCAGACAGAGACAGATGGACGAGGGCAGCACCCAACTTCCACAGTCATTTTGTCGTAATGAAGAAGATCAAGAAGACAGGGAGAACTCTATCAGATGGTAAACGGAGGGAAAAAGTGCTCAGGGGAGAATCAGAACAAGCTACACCAAAGGCAGATGCTAACACACCTTTTGTGCTGCAGGTTGGGAGGTGAATGCGGACACACATCACGCTCCCGTACCTTGTCATCCTTAGCCATGGAGGCTGATACAGGTAAAATGCAGTAATCAATTTGCTCTGCTGGCAGGAGCGCTCCTTGAGAATACTAATGAGGCATCCCACCACCCTCTGCTGCCCCCATTCCCCCTTCTCGTTCCTCGTTCACCTTTCTCATGACTTGACACCCCCTTCTCCAAGTGCCCCAGACCTGACCAAATGCTAAAGGAGGGCGGACTGTCTTCTGCACAGATAACTGCTGCCACTAATCAAGCCTACGTGCAGTGGGGCGTGGGATTAAAAGAGCTTGCACAGCTTGACTCAGGCACTGAATGGCGTTTGGCTCTCGCACACACGCACACAAGCTGGTGCGGGCGAACGCACTCGCACAAGATCTAAATGAAAACCCAACGGGGAAGCCGGCACCGTCTTGTCCTAGAAAACGCGCATGTACATGGGAGCCGTGGACGAGCAAACAGCACAACAAGGTCAACTTAAAAGCTGCTGTTAGGTGAACATTCTCGGGCTACAAAAGGAGCACAAGCACAAACACACTCGCGCGCAAGGAGATTAGATCTAAATTTACTCCGCCAGTCAGAATGGGACTCGGTGGTGAGCCACC